TGTTTCTCTTGACGCGCTGCTCCAGCAGATAAGATACAGAATGGATACAGCTCAAAAGACGACGGATATGTTTTTATTCTTATGGTGCTCTCTATCTTCTTCTAGTGATGAAAAAAAAACTTAGTTAGAAAGAAAAATGTAAAGTCTTGGCAAATCTCTACGTCAATGATATAAAAATAGAGGAGTTGATTTAAGAAATCTAGATCATCTAGATGTTCTGATGCGATCAAATACTTTTGGACAAATAGAATCTCTTTCTTCTATCAAGTTGCTCAACAGAATCTACTAAAAAGGTCTTCAGTCGATATGTCATTCAATCTGCATTTTACTTCGCATTTTTAATACAATCCTGGTTTCAGTGGCTGAAAGAGACCGCTCTTTCAGTAAGCTTGCTTTCATCATGGAAGTATAAAACAGATGGAAGTTCATCGAGTCGCAAACATCAAAGCAACTTCAAGTCGTCTCGGGAGTATGCTTGTTACCGACAATTCAAAAAAAAAAACAAGTTTCACTAAACAAAAAACAAAATAATTCACTGAAGTGATTTTTATTAAAACATTAAAAATTAATTATTCTAAGGATATGCTGCAAAGTTTTAACCATTAGTAATTGTAATTATTCAATAAAAAGGTTTATTAAAATCGGTAATTAAATAAAACCACTCAGAGCCGTCCCGAAGAGATTTTAAAGAGGGGGTGCAGAGTCTGTTTTTTGCCGACAAAAGCTAAATAAAAATTTTTTGCCCACTAACTTACCTAAAAAAATTATAATAATAAAAATTCCTCGTTTTCCGACATTTGCCAACTATAAATCCAATTTTACCGACTCTAGTGTCCGATTTGCCGACTAATAAAGTTCGTAGGGGGGCTAGATACCCCTTACGCCCCCACCTTCTTTAAGACGGCTCTGGAACCACTTGATTTTAAAAGCATATGTTAGTTTAAGCTTCTTTTCTTGCTTCAAGTCATTACAAGACATTTTATTAAAAAGACAATTAAAACAATTTTTAAAACATCAAAAAAATTGTTTTCTAAATAACTAAAGTTTAAAATTTCATTAGCTGTATATCATATTTCCATTCATTCTTGTAGTACTCCATTCATTTAATATGAAGTTTATAAAAAAGTTGTTTGTCGTTTCGTTGCACCATTTTTAATGTTTTTCTTGAATATTATTGAAAATACTATATTTTTAAATTATTATAAACGTACCTATTTGCGTCAACGTATTAAGATTAAGCGTTTAAGTACAGCCTTGATGTCGTTTTCTTTTTGTTTACGAAACAAAAGGTTAGTCCCGAAGCATATCAAGGCGGTTGAACTTCCATCTTTTTTATACTTCCATGCTTTTATCAAATCCAAATAGACATATCTCGCATTCCAAAGACGTAATAATGTAATGACATCAGGCAATGATAAAGCATTTATACATTAGAGATACAATGCATTAGAAAATTGTAGTTTTTATTATTTCAAATTAACATGAGTGATTTTGCTTTTTCTACATCAACTAAAGGAGGAGGAAGTGGAGTTTATTTCTGTATTCCACAATGCAAAAGTTCATTTTACAATTTTCAAAAAAAAAAGTCAGAAACTGGATTTTTTAAAATACCCAAAAATACTGCTCGTCGAAATAAGTGGGCAAAAATTATTCCTCAATTTAGAAAAAAAGTGGTAACGATAATTTCGTTATTAAGGACACGACTCTAGTATGCGAGCTTCATTTTAAAAATGAAGACACTCAATTTTTACCCAATATTGGCAGAAAAACTTTATAAAAAGAAGTATTTCCATTTATTTTTGAACTTAAAAAACAAGATGATGTACAAAAACGATGTTCGCCTAAAAAAAGAAAATTTATCGAAAACTTTGATATTGAAAAAGTTTCTAGAAATGAAGACAATAATTTTAAAACTAACGATAAAGAACTACTAATGGATTTTGAGCTACTGGAAAAAGAAAAACACGATTTGAAATCTCAAATAAGCATTTTAGAATCTAAAAAACAAAAAAAATCGAAAAAAAAAATCAACTGAATCAATATAAAAATAAATACATACTAAGTTATGAAAATATGTCAACAGACAAAGAACTGATCCAAAAATATACTGGCATAGAACATGAACAGTATATAAATTTGTATAACTTTTTAAATCTAGGAAAAAATGGTGAAAATATTAAATACCACAACTCAGCATTATTTGAAAACATGCACAGGTTAGGTAATCAGGCAAAAACTGGTTCAAAAACAAAATTAAACACAGAAAATCAGTTATTTATGTTTTTAGTCTGGCTAAAAAATGGATTTACAATTTTACTCACATCTTTGTTATTTAAAATTTCAAAATAAACAACACCTCGTTATTTAATAACATGGACAAACTTTCGATATTTTTCTTTGGGAAGTGTACCTATTTAGCCTTCACGCAAACAAGTTAATAAGTTTATGCCAGAAAGCTTTAAGATGACATTTCCATCAACAAGATGGATTATTGATTGTACTAAACTGTTTTGTCAAAAACCTTCAGCATTGAGTTCTTTATTTTCTAATTATAAACATCATGTAACTTACAAAGGATTGTTAGGTATTTCTCCTTCAGGAGCAATAACTTTTATAAGTCAACTTTATGATGGATCTATTTCTGACAAAGAAATTGTTGAAGATTATGTTTCCTTAATAAAGAATTATAGAACGAAAATGATTCAGTTATGGCTGATCGTGGGTTTACCATTTAAGACCATTTAAACACAATCAATGTTAAATTAAATATACCATCTTTTTTAAATGGACAACTAAGTAAAGTTATTAAAGAAAGTCAATCCATTGCATCATTGAGAGTTCATGTAGAACGTACTATTCGTAGGATTAATGTATTTTTCCAAATAAGTAATGAAATTTTTTTAGTGTTTCACAGTTCAATTAACCAACTATGGACAGCAACTTGTCTTTTATGTAACTTTTTGCCACTACTTATCAAAAAGGAAGCTCAAAAATAAAAACATTTATTTACATTTAGAGGGTATTATACATTCTTTGCTATTTACATTATTGTCCAATACTTGTGGTAAAAAATAGTTAATGTAAAAATTATTTCACTTAGTAATTAATTTAAAAAAAAACTGATTGTCAAAAGATGTTCTTATAATAGCAATTCCTTTAAATGTGTACACAACAAAGTCACATAACTGGGAATGACTTAACCCCATTGCCGTTTGTATTTGTGTATAATAACCACTATAATGATCTTTTTTTTAAATATGGGTGTCCATTGTCTAATCCAATATAAAAATCATTATCATTCAAACATTCGGAAATAGACAAGTGCTTTTTCATTCTAGGACATTTAATTTCAATTAAACCATAATAATATTTAGCTTCTTCATCATATACAAGACTATCCGGACTCGCAGATAACCAAAATAAGTTGGGTTATATTATACTTCCAGTTGTCCTTCTGAAATATTGCGCTTTAATCAATTTTTCAAAACTTCATTATATTTGTCTCGAACATGTGGCTTATATAAGCAAGCCTGTGGTCTAAAGACTTGCGTATATAAGTTTTATAAAAAGAACTTGAAGTTAAGCGATGTTCTTAGATTAAACCACAGCTAATTTTTATTTTGTGTAACTGTATCAGCTTCATACTTTCTGCTTTATTCAGAAGATATTTTTATTGATAACGAAATATCTTTTTGTTTCTCATTAAGCTCCCAATTGCGTGGTATATAGCAATGATTTTTATTATAAAAACCAAGTGGTAAAGGAGGTAGGGTATTAGCAACATTAAAAGAAATTGCAAATAATATTGAAATTGTTTTTCAATATTAGTGTTAAGTCTAAAGCTCTCATTTATTTGGAGTTATTAAGATAAAGGAGAACCAATTGGAAAAATGTCAGATACGCAATGAAAAATACCAATAGCTTTTTAAAAAAGCAACATTTGATTTTAAATTGTAAATATTTCCTTTTTAAGTTTCTTCTTTACACTTAATTCGCCTTGGATCATATAAAGTAGGCTTAATGTCACGCTTAAATTCAAATTTTTAACCATTTGTAAACGTTACAGGATTTTAAATTGTTTTAGTTTTATGATCTTGAATGCCCCATTGCCTTGATTTACTTGTACAAGCAATCTCTTCAGCTACATACTCAAATAAATTTAAAGAATATTTTACAAATTCAAATAATAAAGCCATCACGTGATTACAATGACCACTATTTCGAGAAGGGCACGAGCAATATGCTTTTCTAACTGAGTTAATCTGCTAATATAAACTTTAAAACCACAAACTTTATTTTTCATGCTTGCTTTTACTATGATACACGTTAGATGATATGAAATATTTAAATTTCTATTCATTTCTAAGACAATTGGTTTTCAGTTGAATAATTTTGTAACTATACCAGGACATTTTCTACTTGAGAGTTCAGTTTTTAAACAATTATTTTGATATTTACGTTTTATCATTGCCTGATGTCATTACATCATTGAATGCGGGATACGTCTATGACGATCAACAATGACAGAAGAACGACTTAGTAACTTTAGGTTGATTTCAATTGAGGACGACCTTGTCAAGACTTTATCGTACGAAAAAGCATGCAAAGTGAAACTAGTGTGATCTGACTAGTCTTTATAATTAACATTTTATTGATGAAATATATAATTGCATTGATTTTAAATTGTATTTTCTGTTTTTTTATATATAACCAAGTTTAAATATAGTGTCAATGTGCAGCGATAGTTAATAGAAAAATAGTTATTGTTTTCATTAATTTGTTATGTGATAGTAGACATACGGACAATAAACAGTAAAATTCACGCTTAAATTAATATACCCAGGAATTCTAAATTTGGGGCACCAAACAAAAATCGAGCCTGGGCACCACAAAGTCTCTGTGCAGGCCTGGTAATGATTCCAAGAACACAGCTGTGTTCCAGTCATTATTTAATTAGGGAAAAAAAAAATTTCAAAACGGACAAAAATGACAAATTAAAATATGAAAAGATTAGCTATATTTCGATTTATAAAATTTATTCTTATAAGTTTGTTATATATGCACGGGTCCGAAGCAGTAATTCTTATAAATAAGTCTTTCTAATTGTCTAATATTACACTAAGTTACGTGTAAAAAATTGTCAGTCTAGAAAAACGACACATTTACAAATTCCACCCTTACATTGACTATATTAAAACTATCGCTAAAACAAATGCATAACATAAACTACGATTCTACGAAGCTATTCCTCTCCAGATCCTGTACTTCTTTTCACTCGACGCCTTTTGGGTGACTGACGAGGTGAAGGTTTGTCTAAATAGTGAAATTGTTATACTGAAAAACGAAACTACCGGCAATTTAACATAAGAAAATATAAAATGCGCAAATAAAAAAAACAATGAAAGCAATTGAAAACGTACTAAATGCAGCTGCTTCTTTAGGCAACCAATCATAGTCGATATCAGTTCGTCCATTTTGAGTGCCAGTCTCAGTAGCAGCTTGACGAGATTGTTTTTTAAACTATAACAAAGTATATATAATATGTAAGTATAAATAAAGTATAAATATAATTTACACATTCTTTCTTTGAATAACTTGACCATTCTTGAGACCATAAATCAAATTACAATCAGTTAGTTATCACGTTTCAATCAGTTAGTTATCACGTTTCAATCAGTTAGTTATCACGTTTCAAACGTAATAAAAAAGCATAAACATAATTTTAATATTTAAATAGATAAAAAGTAAAAAATTAAATTAAAATCTTACCCCACTTTTATTGAATGCATAATTTATTCCAAAAATAACCAATAACCCAACTGCAACTAATAAAACATATAAAAAGAAAGTCTCTCCGTCAAAGTTTTCTTCCAACTCATGAAATGTGACCGTCTCATTAAAAACACCGGCTCCATATTGATTACCATCCTAAATATTAAGGAAATAAAAAAAGATATACAAAAAGAAAAAAAACAAAACTTTTTAATCCAAGTTAAAATTAATTAAAACAATAAAATTACATACAGAATCTTTATACAACATCATAATAGTGAGTCCAAATGGCCGACCACCATAACTTTCGTGTGGATGAAATCCATATTTAAAAGAAGCCTCTTCACCAGGTTTTACTAGAGTGTTATAAGCTGTACCAGTAAAGTTTTGAATATAGTAACTGTAATCTTGAGGATAACGAAATGAAGCATCTAGACTTTCAATAATGAAATCTTTTTCTCCTTTGTTATGGAAACCAACCAAAACATATATAGGTTGACCAGCCGGAAGTTCTATATAAACAATAAATACAGGAACGTAAAACTAGAAAAAAAAATCTCATAAGAAAAATAAAACTTGATTTTCCTAAACTATACTCACTTTAATTACATAATTATTAATTTAAAATCCATTTTTGCGCGCTTGTGTAAGTTGTACTATTCCATATTGACATCTGTGTTTGCGCGCATAGATTGACAGTTCATCATTATTTGAAAAGAGTAATTCTTACGTTTTTCTGGAAAGTCTGGAAAAAGTACAACAGTTGATGCATCTGGTGATATTCTTAATCCTTGTGGTTGCTTTTCTTCTTCTTCAGCATCCTTTAAATTTAATACAATTCTGTTAAGAGTTGTTGTCTTTTAACAATAGTGATTAACATTTTTCAAAGTTGAATTTTCTTAAAATTAATTCTATTAATTGCAAGTTTTTTCATGTAAAAGTTAAAAAAAAAGATAAATTAAGTGTCAAATTTCGAAAAAAAAATTAATTTAACAAAAATGTATAAAAATACTTTTCCTGTAGGAGCAGTAGTTTCTGGTTCTGGTTCAACCTAAATATAAAAATACTTCAAATTAGTGCAAGTAAAACTAAAAACACTTAGATGGTTGTAAACTATAATTACAATCTAAAAACTTTTTAGGTAAAAGATTTCTTATAATGTTCAGATATGATGCTTAATAAAAACTTTAAAAGCACAAAGTAAAATTATTAAAATTATTATTTGTTGAACCTTTATTTGCGACCAGATTGCTACTCATGGCCTAAATACATCTAGTTGTCTTTTTTTATCATCACGATTAAACTTTGCAATTCATTTTATAACAGCTTGCTGTATATTGTAAACTGAATCCTTTTTATTTATTTTTTTTACAGATTTGGCAAGATGTTTTAATTTTTATAAATTATGCCAATCGCTTTTACATCAAGTAACAGATTCTAATGATTGTTTAATAAACAAATTTTATTTAAATTATTAAAAAGTGTAATATTTTTAAATTTTATAAGCATTATTTTCCAAAAAGTTGCACAAAAAAAAAAAAAAAAAAAAAAAAAAAAAAAATTGTTTAAAAAAATAACGTAATCTTTTTAAAAATGATATTAATATTCTATGATAATTTAAATAAAATGCGTCTGCAATTTACAGGGTTTTGCAAAGTTGTAAGTGCATGTTTGCAAAGTTATAAATGCATGTTTGCAAAGTTATAAGTACACGCTTGCAAAGTTATAAGTGCATATACATTTTTTTTGGAAATTATTTTTTTAGCTTTAATAATATTGCGCAAAATATTAAATTAAATTACAGCATAGCAATCAATAAGTGTTTTTTTTAAAAAAAAAGTGATTAGTTAGTGAAAATTCTTTATATTTTTACTTAATTTAGCATATTGTTATATATCAATAATTTTTCTAGATTAGATACTTTCATAATTTTTAAAAAATAGTATGCATTATTTAATCATAATATTTTAAAAAGGCATGCAAAAATATACATTATTAAAAAAAATAAACAAATAATTTTAAATATTTTAATTAGATAAATTCTTCTCTTCTTATTGCCTTTTCCAACCATCTTCTCATATTTATATAAAAGGCATTACACTGTTGACTATAATTATTATCAGGTGATAAAATATATTCTAGAGTTTCTTCAACAGTCATATCGGGATTAGCATTTCTCATGGATTTGAAATTGGATTTTAACATTGAAAAGAACTCTTCGATTGGGTTCAATTCAGGGGAGTATGGTACTAAAAACTTGTGAGTAATATTTTTTTCTCTTAGTAATTGAAGTACTGCAGCTGCTTTATGAAATTTTGCATTATCTAGGATAAGAATATTATTTGGATTTACTGCAAAGAATGGTACTAGTTTGTTGTTGATGAAATCAATAAATGATTGTATGCGCTGCTTTTGATTGGTAACATTCAACTCCTAAATTGTAAATTAAGCACATGAGGCTAACATTCTGTCCTTTATTTGCAGGAACTATCAAGTAGGCATTTGTATCTTTTGGAGAATAGCCATATAAGCGCACTGTATGTTTATTGAATCCGGTTTTGTCTAAAAAAACCAAATTTGAATCAGCAATTCTAGCAACTTCTGCCGCAAAAATTGATCTCTGATTTATTCTTTTCATGGTGTTTCTTTCTTGAGGAATGATTGCTAATCTTTTTCGTGTCAAATTTAATTTCTTTAATTTACGGGAAACAAACGAGATTGAAACGTTTTTACCATGATGTTCTAAAAGTTGCGCTTGAATTTCTTTTTGAACTACGGCATTGTTACAGACCACGGAACTAAATATTGTCTGTTCAATGTTTGTATTAATAGAATTTTTGATTTTATATGTTTCTTTTCTTTTTACTGTAGATGATGTGAAGGGTATATTATTATCATTATTTTTTATATCACGACTAACAGCATTTCAAGTTAAATTACAAGCGTTGGATATTTCCTTGATTGAATATTTTTCACAATTTCTCATTGAAATAATCGTATTTTTAGTTTCTTCTGTAATTGTTTTCCGTACTTTTCTTTCCATTGATATTTAAAACATGAGTTAAAATTAATTTTATAAATGCACTTATAACTTTGCAAACGTGCACTTATAACCCTGTAAATAAAATATACTACCCACAAGCAATTTAATTTAACTTGAATATGAGCATTACAAGTAATTTGTAACTATCAATAAGCATTTCACGTAACAAATTTATGCCATTTTTTTTTACTTTTATTTAAGAATTTATCATAAATAAAAGTAAAAAAAAAAAAAAAATCTTTTAAAAAATAAAAAATTTGTTCAAAAATTTTTAAAAAATTGCAAGATAGAAACATAACAAAATACTTTAACACTTTTACATAAATCAATACGTAGATGAGTAGATAGTATATAGTAAGCCTATATAAGTAAGTTATTTTATATTCTAGTATAATTTATATAAAATGTTTTTACATATGTGTTTTAAGCAACTAGTCACAAATTTTAAACTTATTCATAATTTAAAGTAAGTTAAAAAAAATATTTCAAAAGATAATCATTAAAAAGATTTTTAGAAAGACTTGGAAAATAGTTTCAAACTTTTAAATTTATCATAAAAAATACATGCATACCTAAAAAAAAATTGTTATAACATTTTTTAAAATATACACAAAATGCATTTATTTTTAACAGTCATTGTAATTAATTTTTTATTTTATATAATTCTTTTGCCAGCAAATCTATATACACCATAATTTTTTTTTTTAAAAGGTCATTTAGGTCCTACCAGAAGTCCTTACAGTCTTATCACGGAGCACCACAGGAGAGCATTTAACTAGAAGTTCATGTCTGCTTTCTTACCAATATTACTCATTATCAAAACCCTGAATGGGGCTGAAGATTTGTTTGATTTTAAATGATCTTTTGAATTATGGAAATTCAAATTAGGACTTCAATATTGTGTGTGTGAGAGAGTGTGTGTATGTACACACACTCTCTCAAAGAAAGAAAGAAAATACAGGTAAGCTTGATAAAAAAAAAATGCTTACAAAAGGTAAACTTGAAAAATATGAACTTAAAGGTGTTTCATTTAATAGACTTTATAGAAAAGATCAAAACTCACACAATAGAAAAGATCAAAGTATAAAAATTATTTATATATAAAATAACTCGCCCTAGTATTTTATGTTTTTCCTAATAAAAATGTAAACAATTAACCAAAATAATGTTATATTTATTACAAAATGACGGCTTTAACGCCAACATTAATTTGCCGCTAGTTTTCATTTATTTGCTTTACTCGCTTACTAATATAAAGAGTATTATTTGATAAACAAGCAATAACTACAACATTTAATATACAATATTGGTATGTTTCTTTTATAAAGACTTAAAAAGATTCATTACATAGCATATTTATTGCATAACAAGGTCAATTCATTCAAAATTTTAATTCATTCAAAATTAATAACTTTATTTTCTTGTTCTACTCTTACATTTCCAATCAAGTTTTTTAATGCAATTATCATGTTATTATGTTTTAAAAACTTTTATTTGTGTTATTATTTAAAATATTTTTAATGCAATTTTACTATTATTTGAAATAAAAAAGTTTAAAGCTTCTGTAGTTTAATCGCTTTGAAAAATATATTGTAAACGTAAGCGGAAGAGAAACTCAAATTAGAGTACATAGTCAACGTTTTTATTTTAAAATGCTTAGCGTTTCATATTTTAATCCAATCAAAACCTACGTTTTACATTTTAATCACATTGTAACATATTCCATATTTCATCAACGTGAATTCGAATAAAGCATTCTGATTGACTTAAAATACATTTATAATGTGTTTTAAAAGTTGTTTTTCAAATGTTGGTTTTTCTAAGGGACATTAATAACATAACAAATTTTATTATCATAATTATCATAAGAAATTTTATCACAAAACAGCGAGATAATAAGTAAAACATTTTATAAAACATTATTTTATTTTAATTTTTGGGTACTAATATAGAACTGTTTTAAATTGAGTTTGGGCTGAAGTTTAGAGGTATACCGATATCAAAAGATATTGATACCGGTATACTGGTGTCAAAATCAGCCTGCATACGTCGCTGGTATGTATGTATGTATGTATGTATGTATTTATGTACAGATACATATACACATTTGATTTTTTAAAAGTATTTTCAACAAACCTTTACATCACTTGTATCTTCCTCTGTTGTGACCTCTTCATCGTCTGCTGCTGTTGCTGCTTCTTCATCAACTGGATCTTCTTCAGCATAAACTTAATAAAAATAACATTGGTTAAAATGGGTATTCTAAAAAATTACCAGAAATAAATATCTTATTATATTGTTCACAGAGATTTAAAGACTTAAACAATTTGTCTAATTAATATTAATTAGAATTAATTGTAGTTTTTATTAAACTATTCATATATAACAACTGGTCATAGCGATATTATATTAGGTATAGTCTTGCATGAAATGCCATCTCAGAGGGCTTCTTTAATGAATTGACTGAGGGTTTGGATACTATCTAGCTATGAAGGACTTTTATAATGACAACAATCAAAAAAAAAAAAAAAAAAAAATGTTTTGTATGTTACTCTTTGTACATTATTTGTATATTTTGTATATTACTCTTTGTATATTATGTGTATATTATTCTTCTTTCTCCTATAAAACAGCCTGGACTTAAAACTACATTTATTAATTTATATTTAAACAAACATCAACTGACCTTTCTTTCAAAGGTCGATGTTTGCTTAATTATTTTAATAAATCTATTTGGAATTAACAAAATTTTTTTTTTATAATTCAATTGTTTTGCGTCTAATTTTAATAAAAGGTTCATATTTCGAATTTAAATATAATTTTTATTTTGTTGTTTTATTTTTATTATTTTTTATTTAGAATTTAAAGAAAACATTTATTATACCGTTTTTTATTTAAATTATTTTATTTAGAACTATAATATGTTGATTTTTTTTTTGTGTGTATTTAAAACTCTAATATGTTTTTGTGTGTGCGTGTATTTATTTAAATTAATTTATTTAGAATTTAAATAAAGTGTTTGTTTTGCCATTTTTAATTAATTTGATGTAGCAAATAAAAGTCTTAAAATTCTGAGGTTGGCAAAAGATTGCCAACCTCAGGCATTATCAGGTCAGCATTGCCAAATCCGACCCTAACTCTGAGGGCTGGATAACCTAAATAAAAATTTATCATTGTTGGAATTACTCATAGAAATTATTAGAAAAGGATTATAATAAATCCTAATGAATTTGAAGAGCATTGAATCAGCTAAGATATTTTAGAACTTATAAAGTAATTTCACTTTGATGAGTAACCAAGACTGGTATAAAAAAAAAAGCTTGGTATATATATAAAAAAAATACCTATACTAAAAAATATATATAGATTTTTGTAACATTAAGAAGCTCTATGCAGCATATAAGATATAAAGATCATGAAATTAAATTCTCCAAAATGTTTGGTCTTTGATCTAAATGGTGCATCATTTGCTGGTCCAAAAAGTATGCATACTGTTTGTATGTGTGTGCAATACACCTAAATAGAAATTGATGTTAAGTGCAGTTAGTGTTGCATTGTCCTAAAATAAAAGTATTGAAATGATTGTCTGCAAAAGAATCAAAAGTTTGCATGATTCATCGATGTACCAGCTGTTAAAAAACACAAAATGCTTGAATATTCTTACAACAGTTTCTGACTCAACAATGATTAAAAAATCCAATATGAAAGTGATGAAAACAAAGAATTTAAAATGTTAGCTAAAAGTCAGACATGATAAATTTAAACAAAAATTTAAATCAACACCACCACCACACCAGTCAACACCACTCAGTAAAATCTTTGTTTAGAAGATGTCATGAAAATTTGTTGATTGTGTTGCAATTACTATGCACCTAAAAAGAACAACAATCACATAAAATGCCTAGATGACTAACACTTGTTATTTTATGTTTATTTATAATTTAAAATAATAGGAATAAGAAGAGTAATTGCAGAAAAAGCTAAAATAAAACTTCCTAAAGTATAAACTAAAACTAAAAGTATAAAATAAAACTTCCTAAAGTATACAAAAATTGATTATAACACAAAATAGTTAATATGCAGACCTTGTTACGAAACTTTGTTGCATATAGAAAACATATTAATGTTACTAAACAAAGATCAAACCTTTCCAGGAGATGTGTGCGGTTTTTTGTCTCTTTTGTCCAGGACAACTTTATTTATTATATAGACAACTTGGTCACTGCCATTTAGAAAATTTTATCATATATTAACCTTTCAATACTCAATTATGCCATGCCATCTACACATATTTCACACAGCTCAAATTGTTTCATATTACCTTTCTATTCCTGTACATTTTTTATCCCCAATCTTTTAGCGTTTTGTAATTTTGAATACCTGTTGCTTTTTAACATTTGGTTCAGTGGGCTTTCAGCTGCAGACGACCTTGACCAAGTTGTCTTAATAAAACACTTTTTCGTGGACAAATGAGAGGAAAAACCATACACATCTCTTGGGAAGGCTTAAAGGTAATTGAATTACATACTTATAGTGTTGAAAATTAAACTGTAATTATTTAAATATAATTTTAAACTACATTTTGAATTTTTTGAACAAATAACTAAAAAATATCACTGTGAAGTCAAAACTAAGTAATTGAAGATCATATTTCCTTATTACTTATTTCTCAAAACAAACTTATAAATAACACAATTATCTTTTGTTCTTCTTCTTAATTATATATAAAAAAAAAAATTAATTTTTCTAGTTGCTTTTACATAATTTAATCTATGATGGAGAAACTTTTACATAATGAATTATTAGTTTGCAAATACAAAGACAAAAAAAAAATATATCTCAAGTAAAAAAAGCTGTGAAAATATTTTACATAACTTCAAAATTAAAATCATATTTTTAATCTTAAAATCATATTTTAAGTGATCCCCAAGTACCAAGCCAAGTTGTGTTCATATCATTAATAATCCTTAAAAAATAAGTTTCATGTTAATTAGACTTTTCAGAACAAATAAATTTATTGAGATGTTAGCAAAAATCTTTATAATTTTTAACACCATTTTTTTACTCTTGTAGTTAAGTTCTAGATTGTTGTTTTCTTTTCATTTTTTTTTTTTTTTAAAAAAAGAGAAAATACTGGTCTAATTAATGCGCTTTTTAAGTTTATAAATGAGGCCAATAAACTTGAGTTATAAACATTATGCTACGGTTTTCCCTATTGCAATCATTTTTTATTTATAAGAATGACTTTAACCAAAATCTTTGTAAAATAAATCTAAGTCTAACTTGGGTTTATTTTATTTAACAAAACTAATATTAGATCTATAAATATAAGATGGGTAAATTTAAAAACCATACTGAAAAACAAGCTCTGCTTATAAAATCTTAGAACCAAAAATACTTTATTTCTTTTTTGTGGATTTATTATAAAAAAGGTGAAAATACATTTGATTTCATGGTAATTGAAAACAAAATACTTTAATGGAAATGAAAATAAAACAAGTAGAAAAGCGGTAATTTTTGTTTATTTACAATTCTTATTTTTAACAAAATAAAAATTGTAAATAAAGAAAGTCTCCGGCTGAACTAAAATGTTTAATGTAACATGTCTTTTTGCAAATAGGGAAACCAAACCTAATGGGGAAAACCTAAAACATACCGCTAAACTTAGTTTTATCAAGCATTTATTAAGCAAACCAGATATTTTTACAGTGGAAAAAACTATGCAAATTCATGGAGTTAATATTAATTTCTCAACCAGAAGTATAGCGCCAAAACAAAAATATTACTAACACTTTTTGAATAAGTCGGGTATTAATACCTGTTGTGCAGACTGCTGTTTATCAGTGGGTCGGGTATTAGTACCTCATTTAATTTTTTTAATTTGAAAAACCACAGCCAAAAACTTTATGACAGTTATAAGTATTGTATTTTGTTTAAGAAATAAGTTTGGTTATTTAACTTATATGCATATTTTATATACTATATATCATTTTTGTTTGATATTTTATTTATTATAAACTATATTTTAGATATTATTATTTTATGTTTTTTAATAAAACTATTTAATTAACTACCTGAATATTTTGTTCAAAAAATAAAACTCTATCGATAAATTTACATTTATAATGAATTATTGTTTTTTAAACTTTTGTGGAAAAACCACTCACTAATACTTTTCTAAAATATGTTATTTAAAAACACACTTTCCCTTATGAAGAGGCTCTTCACAAAATTGGCACATATGGCAGGTTAAACTTTTTTTCTTATTCACAACACAAACATGGCTGCTGTTTTTTCAAAAATCGGAGTTTGAATTGTTTTGTTCAACCAAAACTCCCTCATATATTTGCGGACTCTACCCATAAGTAGAAGTAGCGCTAGCATTTTTCTTAGTTCCAGCACAGACACATCTTTTGATTCTACAGATTTTACACTACCTCTAAATAACTGTGAATTTTGTGCATGGTAGCGATTTGTTTCTGTCACCATATATTCAAATAAATCACCCCCAATAAACAGTTGAAGCATATCAAGTACACTCTCAGAATTATTTAGCATTGCCTAGTACTTCATCATCACTTTCTTCAGAGTCGCTAGATGGTATTGATAAGATTCTGCTTCTTTTTACTCAAAACAATTCCTCGTCACTTCACCTGAGTAAGGAAACTGCGTGTCACATGATATTTGTGATAAGTTATCGACTAAGACATCACTATCACTATCTGAATCCATCGTAAAATAAAATTTTGTACTGCAATCAATAAAGATAATCGTTTGTTCTGACCAACTCACTGAATAATTGACCAATGTAACAATTGCGGACTCTACATATAAGTAGAAGTAGCCCTAGCATTTTTTTTAGTTCCACCACAGACACGTCTTTCAACTCTACAAATTTTACACTACCTCTAAATAACTGAATTTTATGAAAATGTGAACAGATATGTTTACAAAACATATCTGGGTATTTACGCAATTAAACAAAATAACAATAAAAATTTCAATAAAGCAGTAATTATTATAAGACTAATTACAATGTCAATGTTTACTTATCTCGTAATGTATAGCATGGTGTCTGTCTAATGCTATTTTCGCAAGAATTATATAATCTTGCATAAATTAGACAAAATTAAACAAAAAAAAGCGTGTAACCATTGTTGAGTTCAAAAAATAAACAAATGGTTATTGAAAGGAATAAAATGAATGGTAAAATATAATCATATTTTAATGCAGAGCAATGAATAGATGAATATACTATATAGAGTAATGGTGCGACACCAAACAATGTTCTAAAAGATTATCAATAAAAATCTGACAAGAATCATTTTATAGAACAGCATATGAGATTATATTATATAGATTAGATTATATTATAATTTCCTTAAACACTAATACCTGCATGCAACAGGCATTAGAGCTTTATCCCTCCCTAAAGTTGGTCTAGATTAGCCGACAGTATTGCTTTAGCTTATAAGTTTTTATTTAAGGCTTTTTTTTTTTTACTATATAATAATTTTAAATTATTAAAAAGGATTTTTTTACTTGGGGCTTTATTTTTTTTCAAAAACATAGATGAGTATTTGACTTTATGAAAATCTCAGAAATTTTTTTAAATGAAAATCCTGGAAAATTATTTTATTAAAAATTGATTGTATTAACTGAAAACAAAAACTTTCGTAAACTTTTAAAATGGAATTTAGATTAATAAATTTTTTACAAAAAGGAATTTCTAATATTCGAAAAAGTTAATTGGAATAAATTTAAAAGCAAAAATAAAAAAGAAAAAAATTGTTAGGAAAATTGATCTCGTGAAAATTTTAATTATAGAAAACATATTTGTTTTAATGCAAAATTTGTTGTTTTGAAAATTTTATGTAAAAATTTATAATTTTTTTAAAACAAATTAATAAAAAAAAAGCATCCGGAAATTTCTGGAAAATTAAAGGAGTTTTAAGTGAATTTCCAGAATTCCGAGAATTCTCTGAAAAAACTCATCTATGCAAAAAACCAATGAGTTTTTATATGTTTTTAAATTATACCCTCTACACAATATAGTTGCGCTTATTTGAGTACCTGCTAAAAAATGTCTTTAAAATGTTATAAAAAAAACTTCAAAATAAATATGTTGAAAGGTTTAATATAAAAGAATTTTAATTTTTTTATCTCAGTTTGAGAATTTTTAAGAATAAATTTTTTCACAACTTTAGCAAAAATGTTTTTTACAATAATTATGATTTTATGTTTTCTAAATAAACCCTGTTTAAATTAAATCAAAAAACATTTAAATATTTCAATAGATAAGAGTTTTGGCTTGACATAAATGGCTTAACCCATAGGTATAACTGACATTTTATATGTAAAATATGTACAGCGTAATGCTTTATAACAAGGCCTGAATATGGTTAGTTTTTATAACAGAAAAATAAATATAAACATAAGTTAAACAAGTATTTATTTATATCATATTATATCTATATATTGGTAAACTAGTTATTGACCTAGTTAAACAAAAAGTAATATCCTGAAGCATTAGCCTGTCAGCATTATGATTTATAATTATTGATTATAATTTATATGATTTATAATTATTATATAACTGTTATATTACATTTTTAAAACTTATAAAGAAATGAAATACTAAACTTCATTCAGGTTTTATATTTATTTTTACTAAGAAAAATAGTTTTCTATCATAATTTTATTATCATAATTTAATTACTTTTTAATTATTTGTCATTAACTTTACCTATTATATAGTTTAACTTATACTCGTAATTGTGTCAAGTACTGAATTTTTTTATGTTTAAAAAACAAAAAATTGTAAAAAGATTAAAATTAAATTTATTTATGTTTATGTGGTGTTTGTTATTATACAAAATTAAAATTTTCACCAAACAATTAAGAATTCACAAGTGCAGCTGAGTTATTAATAAATTATAAGCATTATGGAAAGCATTTACCCTATTGACAATTTTTTAAAATCTTATGCAATTTTAAACTTATAATACGGATGTGATTTATAACTCTTAGAAATGTAACACAACATTACCTGTATTAATAGTTATTAAAGTCGTAGGAAATAACAACACTCCTAAAACAAGTAATACAGATAGTAACTTGAACATCTTTTTTTAATTTTCAGCTAAATACGATCATAAAGATAATCTAAGAATTCTTTATTTACTAAACTTTACTTTTTTGGAGAATTAAAATATTTCTAGTTTGTTTTGAAATATTAGCGGAGGTTTGGAAGCGACACGTATATAGTTTTTTTTAAACAAATGAGATGTTTTTTTTTACGTTTGCCGAAGTCAAGAAATAAAGTAGTTAGTTTACAGAACAAATAGCATCGTTTACAAAATAGTTTTCAAAACAAAACCCATTGAGAAATATCTACAAAACAGAAAAATACTTCGAACCTGTAGTAAATATTTCAGAAACTCTATAAATAATTCAAGCCCTAGTCTATTGTAGTCATCATATGGAAAGCCTTACAAAAAGTAAGAACATTTATTTTGTTTGAAATATACGGTTTTATTTGTTCAAAAACCCCTCTAACGTAACGAAACAACAGCAATAGATTGAGTTGCTGAAATTAAAACAGATTTTGAATCAGTAACCACAAAGTGTTTGTTTATAGTTGACCAATAAATAAAAATTTTAACACTATGGAATAAAATGGGATCAATAAAATAGTTAAGAATTTTAATAATTTTTTTTTTTTTAGAGGAAAAAGATTATTTTTTTTTTTATAAGTTATAAAGAACATTGAGTTGTATTTAAGTATATACAAATCAAATTAAAAAAAAATTATTTCAATTTTTTAATAAACCTTGAATGAATTGAAAAAAAAACTATTTTAACCTTTATCCCTAGGGAGGGTTGCACTATGGTTTCCGAGACAACCCTTGCAAAGGTTGTCTTAGAAACCATAGTGCAACTAAGGATTAGAATATTATTTTGACCTGTATTGGTTTATTTTCATCAAGGCCAATGTTAACAATTTTAATTGGTAAAAAAGTAATTAATGATGACAATCAAAAAAAAAAAATGTCTGGTGATAATTTTAAATCGTTGAGTGGTTAATAAAATTGAGTTGAGTGGTCACTTGTACGGCGCTTTTTGGTGCAATAAAACTCAGTGCTCTTTGGTATGCATGTTTAACTAAGTCAAACCTTTTTAAATATTCGCGCTTCCGCTATTTACTATTTTGACTTGTTGAAGCTCAAAGCATTGCCGCACTTACAAAGCACTACGTCACTTTTTACTTTTGACGTATATATTAGAGCACTGCGAATGTTCAAAATTTCGAATCGGTTTAAAGCAGCAATTCGAGGTTTAATTCAAAAATTTCCATATATTCAATTCAATCTAATTTCATAAAAACATTTATATTTAAATATTTTATAAATGACCCATACTATAAAATACGCTAATTTTTAACTTAGTAGTCGTGCGACTGTGGCACAGTGGTTAGAGCGTCTGCTTTATAATCTATAATTATAATTTATAGGAGATCAAGGTTCGAAACGATGTCTGGACATATTTTCGCGTCACGGTAAGAAAGGAGGCGTGAACTTCCTGATTAAATGCACTTCCGCGGTGCTCTGGTATTCTTGGTCTTCTTGGAGCACCTAAAAATAATAACAAAAAAAAAAAAAAAAAAAACGTGGCTTAAGTAATTCTAAGTTTGAATTGTAGTTCTAAGTCTAAATTAGTAATTCTAAGTCTAAATTGACCAATATACCACTTTATAAGATTCACCACTAAAGCAAATTTGCAACATCTCCATCGGGATTGATGAAAGAAAAGTAATTTGTGCAGTGGCTCGATAGCGTGTGCGTTCCCGCCAAATTCCAGATAAATTCAGGTTAATTTAATTAAATAATTAATTCTATCAAATTATTGAATCATGAAATTCTTATAATTTTATTGAATTATAAGAATTTACTTTTAGTTGGAGTAAAAAAAAAGTTTTTTTTTGCATTTAATGACAGTGATATAGTAATGATAGTTATTCCTGAATCTGTTTAGTTTTTAAAGTTTTTTTAAAAAATTCCAAATTTACATTTATATGGAGGTCGCTGAATTATCCAATCAAATTTAAATAAGACTTTAAGAAGGTTGTTGATGTAAGTTTGATGTTGTTGATATAAGTTGATAGAAGATCCTAAATAAATCTTTTAGAGATACCACATTTAATTTTATGACTATTTTGAATTGTTATTGTAATCTATGGCGATACACTGTTGTCTATTATTTAAACAATTTGCGTAACATTTTATAGTTTGATTTCTGATGCATATTTTTTTTTACTACCGTTTTATGATTTGATACTTTGTCGAACGTGTCAAATTAATAAAGATTTGTAGTACAAATTTTCCACCATTGACAAATGTTCTTATTCATCTTCACGCAATTTTTTTACCATTTTGACCCCCCCCCCTCCTCCTTTTTTCCCCCACAAAATTGTAGCTTTAGTAACAAGTCCCGTACAAGTGGTCAAAAACCACTAACCCTAATCTTCATAGAGCGTGATGTTTATTTATAGACTATTGTAGCATGTTTTATTGAATGTTGCGTTTAAAAACCGTATTGATTTTTTGCTAAGATTTTATTATATTATTATTATTTTATTTAAGACCCTCTTTAAACATTTTTACAAAGTAAAAATGCATATAAAATAATTTTAAATACCGTTAACCTGGGTTACTTTCAATAGTGGGGTAGCTTTGAATACAAATCTTTTTTTTTTTAAGTTGTAATTATGACAAGAATTTATATAAAACTGTTCAAACCTCAAACATCAAAGTAATAAAATTAGTTATAGTTTGATTATTTAAAGTTTTACTTTGTTTATTGGCTATTGTTCCTTAAAAAATGAATTAAATTTATTGAATATTTTTCTCAAAAAAATTAGTCAGAATACTTTGTACACTTCCTCAGCTAGTGTAGCAGCTTGTTGTCAAAGTTGCATTATTTTTTAATTGCATTAATTATGCATAATTTTTGTTTATAAATTTATTAGGCATATAAAATCTAAAAAAGTTTTTTTTTTTAATTTATTTTTTTGTCAAGCAACCATTTACAATTAAAGGTAATTTCCGATAAAATATTTTAAAATATTAAATACAAATATATTAGTTACGAGACCGGAAAAAGTTACGAGACCGGAGAACCTGAAGAAGATAAAATCTTATGATCAGTAACCCAGTGGGCACCGGACCAAAAAAAGACGTCTGTTGAACGTTCAAAAAACGTCCAAAACGTTCAAAAGGCGTTCAAAAGACGTGCAAAACGTGTATAAGACGTTTAAAAGACGTCTTTTTAAAGTCCGTGTCCACTGGGAACTTTTGGTAATAAAAATTAGAAATAAAAGTGCATTGTTAGAAAAAATCATGTAAGGAATCTTGATTGGCAATAAGTTCGATTAAGTTCTTTTCAAATTTTTGAGTGGTATTAGCTTCTTTAAATTTACAACTCAGGCTTGTAAAATGGTTCCATAGCATTGGGCTACGATTGGAAATGGCAAAGCTCGTAAGTTTTGATGTACGCTAAGGTTTTTTAAATCTTCCGGTAGATCGAGTATTATATCGGTTTAATGTTTTAAGGAAAATATCTTCAAAAACCTTCGGTGTTTTTTTTTTTGACTGATGTTGAAACATAAATTGTGTAATTTTGAAAATATTTAGTTCATAAATATCAAGTACCCTCATGCTTTTTAGAAGAGGTTTAGCTTTTGTGAAGCGATTTTGAAAATGAATAATGGTGCTGATGATTCTGTTGTTTAAGGAGACATTCGAGTTTAGATTTATTTGTATTACCCCAAATAATATTGCCATAAGATAAATAACTATTTATGAATGCAAAATATAGCTGAGTTAGTGTAGATTTTTCTAAGATTTGTCTGGTTTTATATAAATTGCCAATATTTCTTGAGATTTTATTGCTAATATATTTAATATGATCTCTTAAGGATAAGTTTTCATCTATTAAAATACTAAGTAATTTTTTTGTGAATGAGCGCTCAATTTTGATGTTATTTGTATATAAGATTTTGCAATATATTGAAACTTTCGTTTAGAAAGGAATAAGGAAAACTTAGTTTTATCAGTGTTTAAAGGTAGGCTGTTAGCGATAAGCCAGTTTGATATTTGTTCTAGTTCATTATTTGCTACTTGAAATAGAGAGATAATGTTACTGTGAAAATAAAATAAAGTGGTGTCGTCTGCAAACATAATAGTAGACATAGTATTTGATGCTTTATAAAGATCGTTGACATAGATTAAGAACAGCAGCGGACCTAAGATGGAGCCTTGTGGAACCCCACATGATATTTTAAGCTTGTTTGTCTGAAAGCCGTTATTTAAAAAAATAAACTGCTTTCGATCAGTTAAGTAACTGGTAAACCATTTATGGTATTTGTGGCTTATTCAATAATATTTTAGTTTTTCTAATAAAATCAGATGGTTAACGGTGTCAAATGCTTTTGACAAGTTTAGGAATATACCTAAAGTGAATTTGTTATGAGAAGATGCTCCACTGATAACTTCAACACGTTGCATAAGTGCATGTTCCGTAGAGTAATTTGATCGAAAAACATATTGATTATTATAATGAAGATTGCTATCATTCAAAAATGCAAATATCCTATTATACATGATACGTTCGAGGGTTTTTGAAAAAACAGGTAACACCGATATAGGTCGATAATTTGTAACCAAACTTTCATCTCCTGATTTAAAAATGGGTGTAATAATTGCAACTTTCAGTTTATCTGGAAAAGCACCTGTTTTAAACGATTTGTTAAAAGTATCTAGTAAAACATCTTTAATAAGTTCATAGCAGTCTTTGATTTTGTTTTTAGATAAGTTAGTAGGCAAAAAAATTTTTTTGGCTTTAGTCGGTAAAAAACAGACACAACACCCCACCTTTAAAATCCCTTCGGGACGGCTCTGTATATAAATTATATAATTCACGCATAAAATAAAAAGTTTTATGCAATAATTTAGAGTGTAATAATTTTATTTTTTATCAGTTAAATAATTTTATATTTGGGGAGCCCATCAAGTTAAAAAAAGATTTTTTTTTTAGTTAATTCCATTTCTATATTCTATAAACGGAAATCTATCATCTAATTAAATATTAGTTCTATAAAAGGGCTCTTTGTTTTAAAAACTGGCAAACGAAATATCAAAATGTTTTCAAAACAGGCTCAGTCCAACTGGGTTTAAGCTTCAAAACAAGTCAGAAGCCAATCAGGTGAGCGATTAGTGGCCTTATGTTTTTTTAACAACCAATGAAAAGTCTTTTTATACTAACTATTAGCGCACTTTTTCTTGGCGCATCAAATTATTTAAAATTTATCACTTCATACAAAATGGTTGAAATCAGAGAAAGTTTTATAGCTGTTAGAGAAGAAGCAAACAACCGTCTTACTAAGGGAAAGAAAACAAAAAGAAAGGTAGAATTTATTATTTATTTTGTAAATTATAAGTAATAAATCTTTTAATCAACGCGAGCCATATTTTATTTTATATCTACTCTTAGGTGTCTAATACACGGGAGGGGACTTTGATTAATTTTTGTAAACTTTTACTATCCATCCAAATTTATTAAGATCCTAAAACCCCCACCCCCCACCCCCCGTTCATCAGTTTTTATTTTCTATTAACAAAAATAACGGCGTAGGTGAACTTGATTCACGTGCGATTAAAACGATGATTTATTTTAGCCGTCGTTTAATTGAATTCAATAGTTTATTTCTTTTTATAGACCCAGAAGATGAGGAAGATACTATATTGTTTTGGAGAAGATGCTGCTTGTAATCATGTTTAACTTGATTGTACAAAACTTTCTTTGGTCAACATTTTTAATACAAAAACTACAACTTTTATTATAGTGTTTTGTTTGTGCCCATTATTTAATAATGGGCACAATAGTAATAGTATATAATAATGATTATTATATACTATTACTTTTTTCAATAATTCATGAAAATCAAAGCTTTTCCTTTAAAATCATTTGAATGCTTTTTTAAAACAAAACAAACCTTGTATGAATTCAACAAAGCTTATATTTATATATACATATATAGTTTTTTGTAAACTAACATTATCAAAAAGTCAATAATTTAATCAGGTTTATTTCATGACCCTATTGATTTGCATTTTTTCCTATGCGCATACTTTATTTGTATCACTACACTAAAGTAACTTTTACCAACAAATTTTTTTTTGAGCGCAAAATACGTATGAGTCAGTTTTCCTTCAATATCTAAAAATCAATTTGCTCAGAATTAGCGCGTTTTGCAAATGGGCTCCTCATTTTATCAATATTATTTAGAGTGTAATAATTTTATATTTACCAAATAGTCCAATATAATTATTCTCCAATATAATATAATATAAGTCCAATATAATTATTATAAATATATCTTCTCATGTAATGAAATCGCAAATGGCGGAAGCGTTTATTTAACGGTGAAAAGGAGAAGAGAGAAACGGAAAAGCAAAGGAAATTATTTTGAGAATAAAAGAGATTATTATAAAAATAAAATAAACTAAGAAAATTATTGAAAGGTATAAACGAACTAAAAGATTGAAGAAGAAATAAAACAAAAAAAAAGAATAAAAAAACAAATAGATTTAATAAAACAAAAACAAAACAAACAAAAAATCAATCAAAAGCAAAGTACCAAGTTAAAAGTAAAAACGATCATAAAAATGTTCGAAATAATATTATAAAGAACCAATTAAAATAAATCGCTACATTAAAATTACAAAACATTAAAATAAATCGCTACCAATTTTTCTACACCTTTTTTTCCGCCAAAAATAACAAAAGGTTATTATTTTTTTATTTTATTATATCTTGTAGAAGTTTTTATGTTTGCATTTTCGTTTTGTAGTTTTTGCTTTCAGTTTGAAGTTTTTGTGTTTGCCTTTTCAATTGCGTAAAGTTTGTTTTTATTTGTGCTAAATTGCTAATTATTTTTGTTTTTGTTTGCTGTTGTTATTGAGTGTTTTCATATTTTTTGTCCTATTTAATTTATTACAGCTTTATCGTTATTATTATTATTTTTTAATTAATTTAATTTACACATGCTTTTATTTATTATTATTTTTGTTGATTTTTTTGTTTATTTATTTCATTTAGGTGTCACTCCAATGACTAGTTTGTAACTATATGAGTGACATGTAACCTAATTTTATAAAATTATAAAAAGCTAATAATTTTTCAATTTTTGGTTGAATAAATGGATAACAATTAAAAATTAAAAACATTTGCATTAAAATTTTTCTTTTTTATAAAAATACCTTTGTTTATTTTTGTTACTATGCACTAGACGACTGATCTTACAAATCCTACAAGAATCCTATAGGATGAGATGCACAAGTCCCTGCAGGACCTACAAGAATCTTTTGAAGGATTTTGTTGGATTTGAAGGAATTCTTATAAGATAATATAAGATCTACAAGAATATTTTAAAAGATCTAGCAGGATTAACAGGATTCTTATAGGATGCTGAAGGTAAAAATTTTAGATTCGTATATATACGGTCGTAGCCCTCCCCCTTAATCCAGCACTGGTTTCTATAGGAACCAGTGATAGATTAAAGAGAAGCGGGTTAGGGCCCTAAAATTTCGGGATTCCGAAACTATTAAGCGGACCTTTTTCTTTTTCTACTGTTTCAGTCATTTTTATGCTGTGGCACGTTAAAAAGGACTCCGGGCCCTGAAATGTCTTAATACGCCAATGATAGGAACATAACATTTATTATTTTATAATTAATATCATAAATCTAATAGCCAAACTAAGAAAATACGAAGTTAGGTTTTTATTTTGATTGGAAGGAAAGTATGTCTATTCTTCTTTTTAATTACTGATAATAGGTAAGTTAAAGTTTGAAATAACATTTTCTTATTAAAAAAAAATCATTTTGTATAAAAGAAATTTTTCACATATTATCATTATTACAGAATCACAATTGCATTGCTGATTACTTTCGTTTTTTCTTTCTATCTAGGCCGCTCTGATTAAGACTTCGTCTGACGCACGCCCACGAGTAATTGGCAAAAACTGTTGCAAGTTGCTCTTTGAGATTTCGTATTATTGCATTAGGAACTGTGGTTCTATAATAAGAAATAAAGATATATAAAAAAAAATCATAGAAATCAGGCAATTAATCATTAATTAAAAATTTAAAACCCGTCCCGCCCCTTAACCCATCGCAGACACAAGGGAGGAGGGGGGATTATTACCCCCTGACAAAATTTTTAAATTATTTAAAGAGTATGACTAAGTAAAAAGTAAAAACACTGGAAATTTTAGTTAATTGCGCCAAATATTTAGACGAATTTAAGAAAAAAAAAATTCATTTGAAATGCCTAATCTGAGCATATTAGTGAAATCCATGGGTCGATTCGGTCAAACGAATGACTGGTCAAAAACTTAAATTTTGAATTCTGGCTTTTCTTTGTAATCCTGAAGTTTCATATTTTCCAATAAGCTTTTTTTTATACTTACATATTTATAATTATTTCAATAAACGAAGTATGAGAAGTTGTTAGTCCAAGATCCTACTTTTTTGGATCTTGATCATGATCCAACAAGTTAAACTAATTGATCCCAAATTTTCAAAATAGGTTAAGAAAAATAGAAAATTTAATAAAAACCCAAGAACTGAAAGTATGATTTTCTAAATAACCCCCTCCCACCCTGTGCCAACAAACTTATAAAAAATAGGTAAGCCTTAAAGCTGCTGCCCAATAACATTACCTACATAAAAATGCCCTAATTAAAAAACCTACCTATCAGCCACTCCATGAGTTGTATTCAGGCTTTCTCTAAAACATTTTAAATTTAATGTTAAAAATAATGTTTAAATTTCGTGTTAAAAATACAGCAAATTTTCATACTTAAAAAAGTATATTATATATATATATATATATATATATATATATATATATATATATATATATATATATATATATATATATATATATATATATATATATATATATATATATATATATATATATATATATATATATATATATATATATATATATATATATATATATATATATATATATATATATATAATATGTAAAATAAATATATAACAATTTTTATTATTAATTTTTATTAATTAATTAGAGTAAAGTTGAAATACAATAATAATTATTAATACAACAAAATTTATGCATATTTATGTTACCCAGTTTATAAAATTTTCATAAAATCCATAATATAAAATAATCATGATATAGCAACTATTTATATATTTCTTTAACAAAAATTAAAAAGATATTAGATTCATTATAATGAACATGCTGTTTGAGAATCTAATATATCTTAATTTTGTATCTAATATCTTAATTTTTGTGATTTGTGACGTGATTTAAATGCGCTAGTGACGTGATTTGAATGCGCTATTGGAAGGCATTATGAATTGCGGGAAAATAAATAGCACTTGAGTGCTATTTATTTTCCCGCAATTCATAATGCCTAATGATTTAAATCACGTCACTCTACGACTCAATTTACTCAGAAAGTCACGCAATTCAATGTACACTCAGATTGCGAGAAAAATTTTAATTCAACTAGATTTTTTTGGTAATAATTTAATTTTAACGTAAGGGACAGATTGTCCCGGGCGGCAGATTTCCAAGGGGCACCAAATAGAATGAAGGTATCTTGGAACAAAGGTCTTTTACCGATAATATAGAAGAATTTCGATAATTAAGAACGCCAATCATGTTGCTGTCCCGGGAGGCGAAACAGTTCTTGGCGGGATTTTATATATATATATATATATATATATATATATATATATATATATATATATATATATATATATATATATATATATATATATATATATATATAGTTATTTGCTATTATTAAATTTTTTTACAACACTTTTATTTATATACATTCAATAAAAATAGTTTTTAATTACTTTTTAATTATAATATATTTTTATTTATTTTCATACTTATAATGTTGTGTAGCGCAGGTGGTAAGGCACTAATGGTGTAGTGATCCGGGTTTCGAAACCCACCACCGATAAGTTTTTCATTTTTCAAAATAAATTTAAAAAATTGAAAATCTTACGAATCTTTTAAGATACCCTACAGGATAATCACAGGATTTCTTTTGATCTTATAGGATTTGCAAGACAAATAAAATCTTACGAATCCTTTAAGATACCCTATGGGTAATCACAGGATTTCTTATGGTCCTATAGGATTTGAAAGACAAATAAAATCTTACAAAACCTGTAAGATATCCTGTAGGATTCTGTATAAGATTATATACGATCCTATAAGATTCATAAGTTGTCTGTAAGATAGTCGACTAGTGTGATAATTATACTTTTGCGTTTTACATTCATACATACATACATACATACATACATGCATACATACATCTGTCACACATACGCTTATATATATACGCATACATCCATACACATACACACATAAATATATTTATATACACACATATACACGTATACTTATGCACATACATACATATACATACACATACACACATAACTATACACACATGTTAATACAAATACATACACATATACACACATTTATACACATACGCATACATATACCCACACATGCATACGCACATACACATTCAATTATTGTACAAGGACGACAAAAAAGCTGTACAAGATTATTAAAAAAAATATATGTATATATTCAAGAGAAAGTATTTTTTAATAAGACTATTAACAGTGATATATTGCTTTGATTGATGTTATTATTCTAGTTGCTATCCAAATACTGTTTTTTTTAATTTATTGAGAAAAATATATCGAGAAATTGAGTTTTCAGGTTTAAAAAAATGAGGGAGACTCTTCCAAGCATTG